ATGATGAAGTTTCCATGAGAAAAGGGATCCTGTGGTCATGTAAAATAATCAACAAAAAGAATGTAGGAAAGGGTACTGGTAAGCCATATGAGGAAATTGCTAACAAGATGTTTGTCTCTACACTGACATAAATTCCCTAAAACGTCCTGTTTCACAATCTACAAGATGGCAGTAAATTACCCCTAGAGGGCGCCAAAGTGATCGGTGCGCTTTTTTATTTTTTTATTTTTAATCTCTGTTTTTGTAGATGTGGCATGGACTCCCTGCCTCTCTGAGGGTTTCAGGATGGTCCTTAAAAAGCCCCTCAGGGCCTTCCTCTGGTTTGGAGTGTGGGCCAGGGTCACCCAGAAAGCTAAATGCAGCCGCTGGGTGATAAAAGCCCTGCGGTAAACTGACTTCCAGCTAACCGCAGGGCGGCAGAGAGCATCTAATGCAACCACAAAGTGGTTTGCTGGCACAGAACTTTCCCAACACTTGGAACGAGATACCAGGGGATGTTGTTTAGTCTCCATCTTGGAAATCTTTCTCTTAGCAAGAGGAAAATTCTGATATCCATCAGTCTGAGACTATTTGAGCACAGCCTTCTGTGGAAGCAAGGGGACTAACACACTGTCTGTGGGCTCTCCCGACCCCAAATTCGATGATCTTAGAGGAGATGCTTAACCAGTTAATGACAAAACAGACCTGCGTAAATATGCTAGTCGGGACTGACAAACTGTAGTAGAATGTCAGAGCTCTTTGTAATATGACAGATTTGTTCTGTCATATTACAAAGAGAAATGAAATTTTAATGCAAAATTATAGGTTCTCGGGGAATTTCAGGTTTGCACGCAACGCTTGAGTGAGAGGCACAGTGTCAGCTTGACACGCACTCCTTCTAACAGATGTCCTCTGACAAGGTCACTGTATGGAGCTTGCGGCTGCTTTGAGGACCCTGTTCTGAAGACATTGAAATTGACAGCATTAAGACCTTGAGTTCTTTTTCTTTAAAATATAACCACTGCTTATTCTTCAGCACTGCCTTTGAGCTAGAAATTGATGTACTTAATGGCTGGTATTGGCTGATGGGACTAAATTACATGAAAGAATGGCTTTCATCATATTGCTCAATTTAGGGATTTCTTTTATTTCAAAGGCAAGGTTAATTACCTCTAGAAAATGTTAAGCAATTACCCACTAATAATAGCAGGGAAGACACTCCTGAAGCAGCCAATTCAAGTCAGGGGTGGGATGTGGAAGGAGTGGAAGCTTTTAGATTTGAATTAATGCTGAAAAATGAAAACTATGTTAAGCTTTTAAAGACTTTAATGGAGAGTGACCAGGCTGTCGCGTTAGCCCTTCGGCTGCCTTGGCCATCAGTCTGTGCCACTTATGACCTAGAGTACTGACCCCACTCTCTGACAATCAGTGGGCCATAGCAGAGGTGTGAGCTCCACATGAACGGTGAAGAAGACTCTAGCCTGGGGCTTTTAAATTGCACCCAGGAATTTTCTTTGTTGCTCAGTATTACAGTTTGGCTTCGTGATGTTGGAGTGTGGGGACTGAGTGGTACTATCCAAAAGCCTGGGCCCTGTCCAGACACCACACATTGTCACATCTCCCCACTCTCATATCCAATTTCAAGCCACTGAAGGATGATAAATAGAAATCTCTGCCATTTGCTCAGCTCAAGGTCCTATGGCAAATGGATACAGAAAGCTGAACAATCCACATCCTTTGTCCTTTCTTTGATTGCTTCAGTAGAAGAAGTAAGGCTGTACTTGGTGTGGCATAACTTGTTAATGCATGCAAGCCTTCCCTCTTCCACTGCCAAGGACACATGGTTTCCATGCAGCCCTGGAATTCCTTAGCAGCTGGGAGGAAAGGCTGGTCAGTAGCCACCTTGAGATGCTTTGAGGAGTCAGCCCACCTTGGTGCCCAAGGGAGGCCACCAAGATGCTTCTGTTTCCCAATACAGAATGACATGTGGACACCACCTAGCGCTGGGTCTCCACATAGGTGATACCCTTCTAAATACTGTGCTAGCAGGAGGCTGATGACTGCTAAGATAAAATTCCTTAGCCACATGAGTGCATTTCAATTTCTTTCTCCCCAAAAAAAGCAATTCTCTGATTTCATGGGATAACCATAGGATGATCTTAGAATCCCCAAATTATAGCTCTTTATAATATCGGTATTAATCTTGCACGTACTTTGGCCTGAATAAAACAGTTTATAGGTAATTGATCTTTAAATCGAAGCTCAGACTTTTGAAGATTCTGCAAAGGAGAGAACTATTATTTGCTGTTATAAGCTTCGAGATTTCTGGATTCTCGTTTCCAATAGCTAACAGCCACCATCATAATGTAGTGCCTATTTTTGAACAGCTTAGGAACTACTGTTACAGGCTGTTTTGTTTTGTTTTGTTTTGTTTTTCTGTTAATGATGGCTCGTGAATTTATTCAAAACCAATAATCTTTGGTAAAAGATGATGAGAAGATTATTAATTCAATGGCTATTCTGAAGAATTCATTTACAAAGAAGAATTCCAAGTATCATTTAATTTCAAAGGTAAAAATGTGTCAATTTTGTAGGTCAAGTCTTTCTAGCAAGCCTCTAGTTAGGAAGAAAAATTCAAAATTGAAAATTGATACTCTGAATGTACCAGATAGCATGACTTTCTGCTCTTTTTAATAGCTTGACTGTTTTGGTTTTTTTTTCTGAAAATGTTTCTTTGTTTCAGGCACTCTGGGTTAGAGAAGATGGCATGGGCATCATTGTTTTCCTAAATCAATGTTTGCCCATACTCATAAAACATCTGAGAAGCGTATGGTCATTTTTATAGTCCCTTCTTTGCCTAGGTTGACTTCCTTCTTAATTTAAACTATCACCCATAATTCTCCTATATTTTCAACTAAGCTTCTATGTGATTGTCAAGTAAATCATCAGAAAAGGCACCTGAAACTCCTGCACTTCCAACTCAACTCAATTTCATGTGATCTACCTTAAAGGAATGTTAGGAACCATGTAATAGATGTGGCTGTCTCTCAATCTTTGTTACAGCAGCTAGCACAACAAACTGTCATTAATGCAAATGCCTACTCATTAAGTCCTATGCCAAAGAGTGGGATGTATACAGAGAGATCCACCAGCTGTTAAGGCCTATTTTGATCATCAGAAATAAAGGAAAATAAGAATATATCTTGCAACAGATCTGCTAGCAAACACAAAAGGAAATGAAATACATTCTTTAGCGAGAGAAAGAAATTAGTTAAATTCGCTTTATAGAAACCATACAATCTATACATATGTATTTTCCTTCTTTATCTTCTGTGAAATTCCAAGGATATTCTGTCATGTAAGTAGACTAAGCTCAGTTTCCAACCATTGTCCTTTCAAAAAAAAAAAACAAAACATGTTTTAGTTTTTTCACAGCTTTGGGCTTACCTGTGCCTGTTTATTCCTAGTTGTGAAATGTCACTGAAATGTTAAATATTATAGCTGGAAAGAATATTTAGAAAATTGTAGTCCCATTCTCTCATTTTATATATGAGAAACCAGAGACTTAGAGAAGTGAAGTAACTTTCCTAAGGTCACACAGCTAGTTAATGGCAAAACCGGGATAAAAATCCAGACATCCTGACACATAGTCCAAAAGGTGCGATCCAGATGTTACAAGTGACATGAGATCTTTCCTGATATATGACCCACTGCTGTAGGACTCCAGGAAGTGAGCACTAAATGCAGACACAAAGAAAAGGAAAAGGGCAGGAAAAGAGGAAGCTTCAAGATCTCTGAGACCATCCCACTTTACTTCCTCTAAGTATTGGCTCTCTAGGACAAAGCCCCATTATTCTATCCAAGAAATGACCCTGACACTTCAGATATTGAGCTCGGAGCTTTCTTATATCCATCCATATGAGAAGCCATGGAAGTTATTACAGTTAAACCTAATGAAGGTATATACTAATCCTTAAGTAAAACCATTGTTTAAAAAGGCAAGTTTTTTTAAGCTTTTAAACTTTTCCATATAGACTTAGCCTGTGTTTATAAATTAATACAGGTCTGATGACTATATAGTACTCATTCATTCTTTCATTCATTCATTTCCCCATTGACTCATCTCATAAATATTTATTGAGTGCCTAGTACATATCAGGTAATGATGTGGTGAACAGGACAGACACAGCCCTGGCTCTCTGAGAACTTACAATTTAGTGAGTGTGACAGACATTGAACAAGTATTTACAATAATTATGGGAGAACATACCACAAAGCTTCATCAGAAACCAAACCCCTGGATTGACATTCTAGCTTTCTGGTCCTTGGGGAGGGTATTTTGGGAAGTGGTGGGGTGTCTGGGTTGTTATAGGGCCAGAGGGACACTACTGGGCTCTAGGTAACAGGAAGCCAGGGTGCTGGATGTCCTGTACTGAGCCACCCACACCTGCAATACAGAGAATTGCCCACATCCCCCATGGCTTTTGAGTCCTTGCTGGGCATTCACAAAGGTGAAAGCCCTCTTTATAATTTCCTGAGCCTAGACTCGAACTCTGTTTTACAAATCTACATGAAGTATCTTTTTCATAACTTTGATACATACTGAAAGTTCAAGGAATGCATCTAATATGAAAGACCATATTTTGTTTTGTTTGAAACTTAAGAACACGGTTCACAATTTTGTAAAAGCATGTCACCGGTAGCAATGCTGTCAATGAAATACACAGCATAACACTGAAATTTTTATTAGGCTATATTTAGAGCTCTCTCCACCATGAAAATTGAGGCTATAGGTGCCATGAAATACATTTTAAGATGTAAACTACTTTCCTTTTTTACTTCATGAATAAAGGTAGGTTCTTTTGTCTATGGATTTCATTTCTGATTTATTTGTGAAGGAAAGAGAACAGCTATCAACGCCAGGCAGAGCACTGTACTGGTCCTCCTCTCTGAATGCCTTTCATGGTATCTCTCGTTTGCTAATCTTCATGGCTCTACTTGCTAAATGATTACTTTTTTAGATAGAACAGAAGTACTTCCAGATCTTCTCTTCTCCTGTTTCAATGACCCTGGCTTGGGAAGATGACAGATTGAAGAGAAAATCAGAAACTCGAAGGGGTGTAGACAGTATGACTGCCCAGTGCTATGTCATCTTCAGCCTGCACCATCCAGAGAGCACATGTCAAACTAGATTTTGGATAGCTACATGAGTGTATTAAGACAGGACTTTTGTGATTAGTGTAAAAAAAGATATACAGTGGAGCTAGCGCCACAAGAAAGAGTCCACGAGGCCAGATGGTAGCAGCGAATGCAAGAAGATCCAGCAGGGTGGGCAGGAGAAGCCTTTCCTCCAGCACTACCTGCTATTCCATTCTTCTGGCTGAAGCAATGCAGGGGAGTCTGAATTGATGATAGACGTAAGGACTGAACTGTAGCTCAAAGATGGTCAGGGGGCCTTAGAGTCTCTCAGAAGCCCATTCGGAAGTTCAGCACCCGCAGGTCCCCTGATGCTCACAGGCACCTTTCTGATGACCTCTTATTTCCTAACTTTCTGAGAAGCAAGGGTGTAGCGATGCTGGACAGCTGGTACACAACCACCTTCCTAGTAGATGGAGAGAGATAGCAAACCTTTGGTGACTTGATTTTATTCTATTTGCTCTGAAAATTCAGCCATTTGATAGGTTAGAGTGGAACCCTCAACTGCACTTGAGTACAGGGCAGACTTGGCCTCCACACAAATTAATTGAGCTCCTGATGACTTACAGTTGTCAAAGCCACTGTGCTGCTTTCTGAAAAGGAGCCTGATTGAAGAATTTAACTTGTTGTGGAAGAGTGTGATTTTTGTCTTTTTTTTTTTTTTTAATTTGCAACCTTGACTCTCAAGAACGGAAGGCCCTTTTAGTCACAGAGCTGGAGTTTGTGATTGGAACATCCTTCAAATAATGTTAGTGGGTTTCCTATTGCTGTTGTGAAAGTAAATCTGTAGCATGACAATGTGCATCAGTTGGGATTTTTGACTCTTGGGATGTAGCCCCTGTGTGTGAGGTCAGCTGTCCTGGTAGCTGGGATGAGATGACCAACTTGTTTTTCCGAGGCCTGCAAATTGTCTCAAATGGCAACTAATTTTATTCAAAATGGACTTAATCCAAATTTGAACCAGGGACTGAGAAGAGCAAGGCTCCATATCCCATTACAAGAGCTATCCAGATTCTCCATATTACCGTATATTAAATCCTTATAATAAGCTGCTTTGTGAGTCTTGGTGCTGGTTCAGTATTTTCATTGCAGTGATTACCCTATGGTCTGTTGGCCAGCTGAAGCTGGAGTACTCTTTCTCTTGATACATTTCCATAACATCTCTCATCGGCCCAGTGAAACTTGTTGTTAAGGGCAGAGCTAATCTATTGCAGCCTTCCTTGCTGCACCATGCCAAGAAACTTGATGGGTTTCTTTCAGCTATTTCCATGAGGACAGTTCACTTCTTTGGGAGAGTTTTAGCTCCATCAAGTTAGTGAACAATGCAGCTGCAAAGAACAGCTCTTGAAAACAGCTTCCCCACCCCTAAAAGTGGGGCCCCTATTGCCTAAACTGACATCAAAATGGAGGCATTATTTTACATACTGGATTTTAATATATGTATGCACATAAATATTTAAATATCTGTATCATCTCAAAAGGAATTTGCGGGAACTTCTAAAATAATAACTAGGATTTACATTTCCTTCAATGATGTGGCTTCCTAATTCCAATTCCATGTCTACTGACCACCATGACTGTTATTTGCTTATAGTTTGTAACTGTGCTAGATTTTGGCAATAGGGAGATGATTAAGGTGATTCAAGGGCAGTAAAAGAGAAAAACAAGTAAATAAGTCAGATTTCTGTGTGAAAGATGTAGAGGAGCCAAAAAATTCAACATTACCAATCAATTTTTAGAAAGCCCGACTGATTTTGCTTTAAATACTAGGGCCGGGGAAGTAAACACATTTGTCAGCAGCTGGGCAGCTGGAGTGTCCCAGATGAGGGATGTGCAGTGAAGCTGTCTCACCCAGCAGGAATGATGTGGGCTTTGGGAGGACACTCTGCCTATATACCCCTGCCCCTGTCTATCCCACCCTCCATCTGGCTAGCCCCCTCACCCTTATATTTTCTCTAGTAGCTCATTTATGATGCTTTCACCATTGCGATTTGTCCCTGGCTCTATTGTGATTCCCTGGCATGAGCTGTGTTTGGCATCTTGTCTCTTGGACCCTGTCTCAAGAACAACATTCACTTCCCTGGCTTAGCATTTCCCCTTCCACCAGTTATCTAGGGCTCCGCCCAGGCTGTCCTCCACCTGATCCCTTGTCTCTGGGCTCCAGGAGTAGGTGCCAGTTCAGTTCCAGCCACACCCTCATTCAGTTCTCAGCAGGGCCAAGAGTTTTTGTTTTGTTTTGTTTATTCCCTCCTCAGGCCCAACCCTCACCCTCTTCATGCCATTTTGAAAGAAAATCCAGTGCTCTATGTCTTGACAAAACAAACTGAAAAACATATTAAAGAGCCAAAGTCTGGGTCAAAAATCAAAACAAAACAAAACTAAAACCTAGAAAACTTTTACTTTTGTTATAGGACTTGTGCCTTTTCCCTCCAGCTCCCAAAGCATTAAGGGGTATCAGTGTAGTAGATACATGAGATTGATAAGGCCAAAGAGAGGCTGATGAAGAAGTGTTCCAACTATAATCTCTGTGCCCAGGAGAGGCCTCCATTAGCTAGAGATCTTGTGACTTATGCTTTTAGGATAATTTATAACAGTGCTGTCAATAGAAACATAACGTTAGCTACATATATAATGTTATTTTCTAATAACTCCTTTAAAAAAGTAAAGCAAAAAGAAAATTATTGTTAAAAATACATTTTATTTAACCAAAAACATTCCTGTTGCAAAATACTACCTAAACTTATTACTGAGATGTTTTACATTGTTTTATTTTCATACTAAGTCTTAGAAATGCCAACTCAGATACTAAATTTTTAACAAAGTATAATACAGCCCTATCAAAGGTAGTGATGTCAGCAAGACAGTGGAATATAAAGTCCAAGCCCTTGGTTCCTCCACAAAAACACTGATTTGACAAAAATATATGGGCCAAAATACATAAATGAGAGGTCCATAATCCAGTTAAGCAGTTACAATACCCCAGATGAGCACAAAGCCAAGAACAGCCACATTGAAATAGGTAAAAAGAGCAATTTTTTGTGTCAGCCCCTCCCCCAAGCCAGCACAGTTCACAACTGAGAGAGAATGTCTCAGCCCTCAACTTGTCCCTTAGGGAGAAAGGCAGAATGGAGCATGATCCAACATCCACAGCCTATCATGGTGCTGCCTGAGGGATTGATTTCTGTCTCACCTCTCACATGGAGCACAAATAGAACTGGTATAGTTTGGATGCCTAGAGTCAGCTAAGAACAAAGGAAAGAGACATGTGATTTGCTGCAGCCAGCATGGCTCTGTAAGATTGGAGAAGGCACAAAACCTGAAGTTTCTCCCCCAGGAGGGAGGGAGAGAGTGGAATGTGCCTCCAATGTCCTGGCCTTTGGTAAAATAGTCAGACTCCAGAGGGTGCAAGAGATTACTGGTTCATGAATTAAAACAAAGAAAGGAAGCAATAAATTTCCCTAATTAGGAATCTACAAGCACAAGTCCAGAGAAGACACACCATAGGAAAGGTCTGAGAGACTCCCAGAATCCTTAGCTAGGCTGACTGGTGAAGTTCTTTCTCTGTTGAAGCCAGTCCATAAAAATTGGGAGAGGTGTCAAATGCCCAGATATTAACATAAAACTGTAAGGGACATGAAGAATCAGGGAAGCATGACCCATTCTAAGAAACAAAGTAAATCTTCAGTAATCGACTGTAAAGAAATGGAGATCTATGAATTACATGACAAGGAATTCAGAATAATTGTCTTAAAGAAGCTCAATGAGTTAAAAGAGAACATAGACAACTAAATGAAATCAGAAAAATGATGCATGAACAAAATGCTAGTAGCAACAATGAGATACTATTCAAAAGAACCATACAGAAGTTCTGGAGATAAAAAATAGGACCAGACTGAAATATCCACTAGAAGGGTTCAATAGCATACTCAATCAAGCAGAGGAGAGAATCAGTGAAGTTAAAGACAAGTCATTTGAAATTATCCAGTCAGGGTGCCAAAGGAAAAAAAAAAAAGAATAAAAAAGAGAGAAAAAAAAGTGTAAGGGACTTATGGGACACCATCAACAAAACCAATAAACACATTATTAAAATTCAAGAAGGAGAAGGGAGAGAGGAGCAGAAATTTTAAAGAAATAATAATTGAAAACTTCCCAATTCTGGGGAGAGAAAAGGGCATTCAGATTCATGAAACCTCACAGACATAAATATGATGAATCCAAAGAAGTCTACACCAAGACGTGTAATAACTAATCTGTCAAAAGTCAAACACGAAGAGAGAATTTTGAAAACAGCAAAAAAAAAAAAAAATGACTCAGTACATACTAGGTTTGCCCTGTAAGACTATCAGTGGATTTCTCAGCAGAAACCTTGCAGGCCAGAAGGGGATAGGATGATATTTTCAAAGAAATCAAAGAAAAAAGAAAAACTACAAACCAGGAATACTATCCCAAGCAAAACAGTCCTTCAGATGTGAACAAGAAATAAAGACTTTTTAAGACAAACAAAATCCGACGAAATTTATTACCACCAGATCTGCCTTATAAGAAATGCCAAAGGGAGTTCTTCAAATTGAAATGAAAGGACACTAAACAGCAACATGAAATCATATGAAAGTATAAAAGTCACTGACAAAGGTAAATATATAAATAAATATAGAATACTTAAATATTGTAGTGGTGGTATATAAATCACTTTAATGCTAATAAAAAAGTACAAAAATATTAAAAATAACTATAACTAAGAAATATGTAATGGAAACATAGTATAAAAATATGGAAACTGTGACATCAATAACAAAGTGTGTTAGGAAGGAAAAAATAAAAGCATACTCCTGCCAAAAGAAAGTTGTGTTGAATGAAAAAATATTTTACATTGCTTTATCTTATTTATTTAAATTAATTAAAATAAAACAAAACAAAACACTTCTCAGTTTCACTAGCCATATTTCAAGTCCTCAGTAGCCACATGTGGCTAATGGGTAACACATTGTACAGCACAGCTATCCTTAAAGGGCTT